AAACCATTGTAAATCTGTCTGGCCCTGGTGCTTTAGATATGTTCATGGAGAAAACAGCTTGTCTAATTTCTTCCTCCTCAAAATTCCTTTCCAACCAGCTTCTACTCTCTTCTAGAAGCCTCTGCCAAGTCACACCTTCCAACTCCACTCTAGGTCCTAGGGGTCTCCTCAAGATGGATTTGAAATGGTCAACAAAACAATTGGCTATCCTCTCTTGGGAATCAAGGACTAGTCCATCCACTTCTAGTTTGGATACTAGCTTTTTCCTTCTCCTTCCATTGGCTAGTTCATGAAAAAATTTAGTATTTCCATCTCCTTCCTTGAGCCACTTACATCTAGACTTCTGCCTCCAAGAAATTTCTTCTCCCAAGATGACTTCATCTAACTCTCTTTTTAGTTTCCATCTCCGATCTCTTTCCTAAGAGTTTATGACTCTTTGTGATTCCTCCGCATCCAATTCCTCTATTTGGGTCATCAAAGAGGATTTCATTTCTTCTATTCTTCCAAAATGCTCCCTATTCCAATCCTTCACATGTGCTCTCAATCTTTTTAGTTTTTTGTGAAATCTTACCCCCTAAGCCAATGAGGCAATGGTAAGATGTGACTCTAGGTAGAGCTCTTGTTATCAAATCTGCCCACTTGTTTTCCCAGCTTTCATTGAAAAGGGACCTATCTAATTTGGAGTAGGTTGGTGTTTCTGGAAAGTTGGACCAAGTATAGAGAGCTTGCAACAATGGGAGTTCCTTCAACTCACAGTTATTAATGAAATCATTGAATCTTCGTATGCTGGTTGTAATGGCCTGTTGGGGATTATTTGATTCATCTGTAAATCGAATTACATTGAAATCTCCCCCCAAGCACCACGGACCATCCCAAAGCCCTTAAATCCCATAAAGTTCTTCCCAAAATTCATTCATTTCTCTATCATTGCTTGGTCCATGCACATTAGTTAGTGCCCAAGTAAATCCATCCTCTACCATCCTGAATTTTAATGGTACTGAAAAATTACCTATTAGCTCCTCCACAACATCCTCTCTCCGGAAAGTGGCAATACCTCCCGAAGCCCCCCAAGAAGGTGCTGAAACCCAACTTATTCCTCTAGATTTCCAAATGCTTCTTCAATTTCAGCTAATTTGGTATGCTGTAACATCACTATATCTGGCCTTTCCCTTTTAAGGATGTCCTTAATTAGCCTTGTTTTCCTAGCACTCCCCAGCCCCTTCACATTCCAACTAATGATTTTCATGGAGATAAAAGATTTGGCATCCCTTTGAGATCAGGCCCCTACTTGGAGACTTCCCTTCTCTCCCCTCTTCCACTAAATTCCAAATCTCCTTCTATATCTGATATCAACCTTTCCACCTCTGATCTTTTCTTCTTCCTTCGGTTGTTAATTGTTCCAGATCTGCTTAAGGCTGCTTTTGTTATGTTTCACCTTTCCAAAATTCCTTGGTTTTCCTCCAAAGATTCCTCTATTTGCCTATACTCCTCAAGGAAAGCACAAATCTGTCCCCAAATCCTCTCTAATTCCTCCTTTCGCAGCTTTTCCAAGATTGATTTATCTCTAACTTTTTTGCTACTTTGAACCCCTGTCTTAACTGATCCTTCTTGAGCTTCATACTTTTCTACTGCTTCCTCTTTTTTCTTGTATTCCTCCAAATGCGTACAGATCTGATCCCAGATCTTCTCTAACTCCTCTTCTTGGAATTTTCTTTTCCACACCTCTTCCTCTTGTTCTTTGAACTCCCTGTCCCCAATTAAATACTCTCCATCCATGGCTACTGCTTCAAGTTGAGCTGACAAAGTGTTGTTTTAGTCCTTGCATTAGAATCTGCCTTTAAGAGTTGTCCCCTGATTGATGACTCTGTGATTAGTGACCGAGATGTGTCTTGTTCCTTTAGTCTTCTATCATTGCTGGGCTGCTCTTGCGAATTGGGAGCATATTTGGGAACCGGTATCCCCTGCCTCTCCTCTATAATAGTTGCGGTAATCTCCATTTCCTTAGGTAAAGAGAGAATTTGAGAGGGCTTCTTCTAGGCTGAGTCTGTAAGTTCCAAGTCATCATTTTCCAAAAATATCAGCTCGGGTGTAAGCTAAAATTGGTTGCTAAAGGATATTTCTAAATGTATGGTATTGACTACATCGAGACCTTCTCTCCTGTTGCTAAAATTGGTTCAGTTTTTGTTTTTGATATTTCTAGCTGTTATGTATGATTGGCCTTTGTTTCAGCTTGACACCAAGAATGCCTTTTTACATGGTGATTTCCTTGCGGAGGTCTATATGGAGCAACCACTGGGGTTTATTGCTCAGGGGGAGGATGGTGGTAAGGTGTGTAGGGTAAAGAAGGCCATTTATGGACTCAAACAGTCGCCCCCCTGTGCATGGTTTGGTAGATTCAGTGAAGTGATAAAGAAGTTTGGCATGACACAGTGTCAAGTTGATCATTCAATATTCAGCTATGATTCACATGTTGGGAAGATTTTACTGGTGGTATATGTAGAAGACATTGTTATTACTAGTGATAGGTTGAAAGCCTTTTTGCAGGAGCACTTCTAGACAAAAGGACCTTGGTAAATTGCAATATTTCTTGGGATAGAAGTAGCAAGGTCTAAGCAAGGTAATAACCTGTGTTAGAGGAAGTATGTTCTTGATTTGTTGGAGGTGACAGAATTGTTAGGTGCGAAACCTACTGAAACACCTATGGAACCAAATACCAAGCTGAGTAGTGATGTGGGTGAGGAGTTCAAGGACCACGGAAGGTATAGGAGGTTGGTGGGCAAGCTAAACTACCTAACCATTATTCGACCATATATTTCATTTGTAGTTAGTGTGGTGAGTCAGTTTATGTGAAATCCTCAGGTTCCACATTGGGATGCAGTTCTAAGGATTGTAAGGTATTTGAAGGGTGCTCTTAGTCGTGGCTTGCTATACAAGAGTGGAGGAAACCTTGAAATAGAGGGATACATCGATGCTGATTGGGCTGGCTCTGTATTTGACAGAATCATAGAAGGTCCAATATAGGTTGTTGTATTTTTCTTGGGGGTAATTTTGTGACATGGAAGAGTAAGAAGCAGACAGTGGTGGCAAGAAGCAATGCAGAAGCTGAATATAGAGCCATGGCACATACAACTTGTAAACTAGTGTGGTTGAGAAATCTTCTATAGGAGATGGGGTACTCGATTGACACTCCGGTGAAGCTTTATTGTGACAACCAAGCTGCAGTGTACATCTCTTCTAATCCGGTTTTTCATGAGAGAACAAAACATATAGAAGTTGATTGTCACTTTGTGAGAGAGAGGGTGCTTAGTGGAGTGATAGATACTACATATGTTAACACAGGAAGTCAATGGGCAGACTTGTTCACCAAAGGGTTGAGTCGGGAAGAGTGGACTACATATGTAACAAGCTGGGACTATATGATATATACTCACCAGCTTGAGGGGGAGTCTTTGTGTTGACTGTGTAGGGGTAGTTTAGTCTTTTTATTTATGTTTTGGTGTGAGGTGTAATGTTTAAGTTAGGTGATGTGTCTCATACTTAAGTAGGGGCATAACAGATATTTTGGTTTATTATAGAAAACTATAAATATAACCTGGCCGACTAGCGAGAGTGACTTTTCTCTCTTGGTTAAACCCGTTTCTTCTTCTCCTGTCTTCTCTTCTCTTTTTCTTCTCTCTTCTATCTCCTTTAACCTTCTTCTACTACTATTTCTAACTGAATTCTAGTGCAGGTCTGAACTTTATCAAAGTGCTTCAATAAGGTAGTTGTATTACCTAGGACCCTAATAGAGTAATTTTTGTTTTTTTGATAAGTGATTTTAAATTTCATTGGTGGAACCAATATATACAGCAGTACAAGCATCCCAAGAGAGCTTTACCTCTCACATCAAGAAACAAAAGACGAACAAATTACAACTGAGACCAAAATAAGTGTTTGTTGTTAACCCCTTGCATAGATAAGGTATCAACCATCCCATTAGTCGATCTTCTCATCCATTGAATCTTCAAGGTCATATTACCTGTTAACCAGCTAAATTTCTTAATCTCATCTCTAAACTCCCAGATGACAGTCTCTGGATTCTGTAACCATCTCACCATCAGCTTGGAGTCCCCCTCCACAATAAATTTTTCCAAATTCAAGTCCTCAGCTATTTGCACCCCTTGAATCACTGCAAAGAATTTCAGCCCTAGTTGAATCTCCCACTCCCACTGTTCCCTAGAACATAGCAATTGCATTTCCTTCATTATCTCTAAAAACACCCCTTACTCCAGATAGACCTGGATTACCATGGTGGCTTCCATCAAAATTAAGGTCAACAAAGTCTGCAGTGGGAGGTGACAAAAGATGAAGTGTTGACTACTTTATAGCTGTTTTTTTTTTTTTTTCTGAGGGAAAGGTATTTGTATTATATTATGTCAAAACCCCAGTCCCCACTCTATAGCACCACCTAATTGCATTAACTAAGTGTCTTTTAATAGTGAAGCAGGAGATCTGAGCTTGCTTAGCAATACCTTTCATTACCTAGGAGAATCTGCTTTGATATGTCTCTCATCAATGAGTCTGTTAAATATTTCCTAATACTATAGGTATTGAATCCTTTAAGATAAATTTTCTGTTGATCCTTGATGCACTATTTTATTTGTTCTTCGTAATCTTTTGAAATTTCTTTGGATGACAAGGTGTTGCAGGAGTTCAAATACTGGGTCAAGTTAGCCATGTGTTTCACATTCCTCCTGTGATAAGAATATAATGTACTTAGTTCTGTTCCAGATTGATTTATCCTCTGGTCTATCAATTACTGAACTGATATCTATCTATTTGTTATGTTGGCATTTTGTCTTTATAGAAATTGGGAGGTGTGAGGCTTTCTGTTTGGCCTCTACTTATATTTGTGTTGAGAATGCAGCTCTTTTTTTCGTTCTTATTTTTCTTCTTCTAACATCACATTTCTTTACTGTTTCATCTGGAAATAAATTAATATTTTGAACCTTATACTTCAGTGCATTGTTCGTGCTACTGTAATTGGTTTTTCTGATACCATGACTGGTCGTCTTTATGAGAAAGCATCTTTGATGTTGGAAGATCAAAATAATGTTCTCACTGATGCCATACGTTTACAGGTATGCTTTTTCTGACCAGAACATTTATTGTTATCTGTTTCTTCATATGAGTTAAATATACTGTGACTTATTTCCCTTTTTTCTTTTCAATTCTTACTGGAAAATTGTTGGAAAGTGCAGCTTGTTTCTTCTTTAAGAGTTATTCCAGAGTACATTCTATTATTTTTCAGCCTTGATGCAAAGGTATGTAAAGGTGGTGGTCCTTATAATACCATTTATTTTATTTTTTTGATAAGTATACCATTTATTTTACTTAAGTAGGAAATCTTCATTATGCTGCCATCATCATCCCACTAATAGCATAGATCTGAAAGCTGTTTTGCACATTTCTTATAGAGTTGTGGACTAGAACTAGGAAGGATGAAGGATAAAGATATTACTTTACTTGGGAAATGGCTGTGGGGTTTTCAGTGGAAAGTGATTCTCCTTGGCATTCCATACTAGTATTACTTTGTCCTTGGAAAGGAAATTTATGTGATATGGACTTCATTCACAAAATTCACAAAGTTTGATCCAGCGTTTGGACAAAATGTCAAATTGTGATAAGATTGGTGGTTGGGAGGATTGTATAGCATTTTCACAAAAATATGACCATTTTGGAGTTGACAACCACATCTTAAGAGGGCATGGTTTGAGATTTGGGCTTGAGAAAAGGTCTTAGAGATCTTGAGATTGATGAGTTTATATATATTTTTTTGATGAATGGATTGATGAGTTTATATTAGTGATTAACTCCCTTGATTCACATTTTCTTCTCCCTTGTGAGGCTGATTCTAGAGTTTGGATTTCAGAAATCTTGGGTACTTTTTCTTTCTTATTTTTCAAAAGCTTTTATGCATGCCTATGTACACCCCTTCCTTTTCTCAGTTAAGGCATTTTGGATGGTTGTACTTCTAAAACTAAAACATCTTATAGGGTATTGCTATCAAAATGATCAATACAGGTCATTTTATATTTTATTTTATGTTATGGATAATAGTACAATAGATATTATTAGACTAAATTGTTCATATTATGGGTTTATAGTATTAAATATTAATATTATTATTCTTATACTAGTTTCTTTTTATTATTTTCTTATTTGTTTGGGTTGAATTGACACGCAAGCCAGTGATTATTACTTCCATGCATTTTTCCATATTGAATGATAAAAGAACATTTTATCATATTGGTGCCCAAAACATGAATATCAAAATTGTCTGGTACCAAACATGCTTCTATTATGCTCTTGCATTTATTACTTATTTTTGCTATACCCTTCAACTGTTCCCCTTTGGTAGCTTTTTGGTTTCTTGTTTGGTTCCTCCCTAGCCTTTCCTCATTTTGTGACAAAGTTTGCATATGTCTTGTGGTCATATTTTATGGGTTTTGATCCCTTATGCCATCTGTTGGTGTATCTGGGAAAAAAAGGAACCTCTGTACATTTGAGTGGGACATACCCAGATTCTATGCAAATGTAGTAGCCTTCTTATATATATGGCTCTTGTACTCAAAGATTTCAGCTTCTTTAGGTAAGGGGATTTTGTATTCTCTGCAAATGTAGTGGCCTTCTTATAGCTGCTGTAGGTGGTCTTCTCTACACATGATCGGACCATCTAAGCCTACTCTCTCATTTTATCACCTCTTGGAGCTACTCCTAGGTTCCTTTGAATGACTTAATTTTCTGATCCTATCCTTTCTAGTTTTTCCGTTCATCCATCTCAGCATATGAATACCACACTCATTTTTTGGGCATATTGTTTCTTGACTGTCTAACACTTTGCTCCATACAACATTGTTGGCCTTACAATCGTTTTATAGAATTTTCCTTTTAATCCAAGTTGTATTCACCTATTACATAAGACTCCAGATGCTTTCTTCCATTTTGCCCATCTTGTTCTAATTCTATGGGTGACATCCACTTCAATCTCTCCCTTGTTATGGGTTGTCGAACCAAGGTTACCCAAAAAGGTCATGTTGAGTCATCTCTTGGTCTCCAATCATAAGTGTATCCTGATTTGCTCTCCTCTTATTATTATTATTAAATTTACATTGCATATATTCTATTTTACTCCTACTTGTTTTATGTTAGTTGTTAGACAGGAGGTGGGGACCACAGTAATTATGTGAGTCCAAATTTTATTATGTTTTTTGAGTGTTATATAT